CGTGCAGATGGTACTGTCCAATCACACATCACACACAACTGGCGAGGGGGATGAGCATGCACGGCCCACGTGAACGTCCAATATTGAGCCGTGATCTCTGCAATCCAAGGTGGCGCCAGTGGGGCTCTTCCTCGTCGTGTGTGTGCTGTTGGTTGAGGGGTCCCAAGCTCGTGACAGCATACTTCAAAGGGTCCGCCGAACTGCCCGCTTAATTAGCAGGGCGATTTACGGCGGCCGCCGTGGTCTCTTCCAAGGGAGATGCTGTACTCGTTGTCGTCTCCCGAACCACTCCGGCGACGTCACCCTCCGGCGACGTCGTGTCGCACGACGTCTCACCCTCCGGCTAGGAGGGACAATGCCTGGCGGTCATAGGCAGCCGGCCGGTCGGCTACTTGTTTGAAGATCTAAAGAGCGCCGCTCCCTCGTCAGCTACGGCGCCAGTCACAACACTACATAGGTCTACCTACTTCTCATCTATCGACTTACGACCAGGATACTGGCAGATTTCTCTACATCATCGAGACCATTGTAAAACCGCATTCATTACACCGAGTGAACTTTTCTAGTATGAGGTTATGCCATTCGTATTGTGAAATGTCCCAACAATATTTACAAGGATGATGGACTCCCTCCTGCATAAATACAAATGGTCCACTTGCCTGTGCTAACTCGATGACCTCATCCTATTTTCACCCACACTTGAAAGCCACCTGAGCCGCCCGTCGGCTGCTCATGAGGTTTTCCGGACAGCAAGCCTTCAGCTCAACTTTTCCAAATGTCGCCTTGGCCAGCAAGAGGTCACTGTGCCGGGCCATCTTGTCAGTGCTGAAGGCATGCACACTGATTCAGACAAAGTTTCAGTTGGCAAGTGTTTTCCCGTACCACATTCCGCGAGAGATGTACGGAGCTATATAAGCCTGTGTTCTTAGTTTTGACGTTTCGTGAAGAATTTCACTGACATTACCCGATCACTTACAGATCTAATGAAACGAACGCGCCATTTTATTGGGGTACTGACAAGCAGCTGCGTTCAACACGCTTACAACATTAATTACTTCGCCATATTTTACCCATTTCTACCCGTCAGCCTATATTAACGTTCGCACCAATACCAGCGCACTTATCGCTGCAGTTTTCGCCCAGCAAAAATGAGGACAGTATCGCTTCATCGCTTGTGCCAGTCACCTCTTTTCTTATTTGGAGAGGAAGCTTTTTTTATTTAAAGAGCGTACGGTCTCGCACTCGTCAGGGCAGTTGTAAAATTTTGACCATTTATGTTCCACTGCATCCATTGGGTAATAACACATCACCATGCCCTGCGCTGGCTGTCGTTCCTCAAAGATCCAACTAGTCGACTTGGACGTTGGGTTTTGAAACTTCAATACAGCTTCGGCGGAGCGTAGAAAACTGGCCAAATGCACCAGAATGCCGACGTTTTATTCCGCCATACCAAGGACCCACCAAGCCTTGATTCTCACCCTTGCGTCTTCGCCATATTTCCTTTCGGTAACATACGCAAAAAACAGCTCAGCAATGTACACTTGGGGTTCATCATGCACCGTCCACGTTTGCCCCACGCAGACCCGTCGCTACACTTGTTAGTTCTACGCGATGGCTTTCTTTACCGACGTAACGCCAGCGCCGAGGAAGCAGAGCTACTTATTGTAGTTCCTGCGACACTCCGTTCCACTTTTCTTGAACAGCATCACGATAACGACGGCCCATCCGCTGCACATCTGGGGGCCACGTGCACGTACGATCGCGCGCGCAGTCGATTCTTTATGACCATGCCTTTACCGTACTGTGCACCGATATGTTGTTGCTGTCAGTCCTCACAGCGATCCAAACATCCTACCTTGTAACCAGCTGGTCCATTTCGACCAATAGACACCCCCACCGTCCCCTTCCAGCGTGTTGGTATCGATCTTGTGGAACCATTTCCTAGGTCTCTGACTGGAACGAAATGAATCGCCGTAGCCACTGACTACGCCATGCGATACGCTATCACACGAGTGCTACCGGCAAGCCGTGCCACTGACGTCGTGGACTTCTTGCTCATGACGTCATTCCTTACGATGGCGCTCCTCGACAGCTGCTGAGCTATCGTCGTCACTCATTTCAAATGCGAAGCATTTCTTAGCGAACTTCAGCGACATTTATCGTATCTATCTATCTATCTATCTATCTATCTATCTATCTATCTAGCTGCCTACGACTTTTAGCTCTCCTGCCCGTTTTGGTAATAGTATCAATACCGAACTTGGTATGGCATAACGGGACCGTATGAAGAACACACTTGGCTACTCATAATATGAAAGTCATGATATGTATGTGATGAATGTCATAATTTGCATTTCATGGTCCTGCAGCTTTTGCGGTAGTTTTGTTCACATGGCATGTTGCAAAACTGATATGGTATTGCATGATTGCATGGCGATTGATTGATATGTATGATTTAACGTCCCAAAACCACCATATGGTTATGAGAGACGCCGTAGTGGAGGGCTCCGGAAATTTCGACCACCTGGGGTTCTTTAACGTGCACCCAAATCTGAGCACATGATTGCATGGCGAACACAAGCGACAGACCCTTACATGAAAATTATGAAATACTTGTCATGTAAGATTATGAGTACATGCCACGCTCATGTTGCACTCGTGGCCGTTTCGCTTGCGTCACATATACCACATTTGGTATTACAATAAGTGAATGTGTGACAAAGGTATGTGACTGGTGCAAACATGATAATCATGAGATGCGTGTCATGTAACAACATGACCACATGCCACGCTCATGTTGCGCTGGTGGCCGTTCCGCTAGCTTCACTTATACCAAGTTTGGTATTACGCGACGTGAATGGATGACGAAGGTATGATACTGGTGCGAACATGATAAACATGAGATGCGTGTCATGTAACAACATGACTACACGCTACGCTTATGAGGCGCTTGCAACTTTTTCGCTAGCTTCACATGTACCTACTCGGTATTACGCGACGCGAATGAATGACATAGGTAAATGACATCCAAACATGATAATCACGGCATGCGTGTCATGTAACAGCATGACTACGTATCAGACTGATGATGTGCTGACGGCCGTTTCGCTAGCTTCGCATATGGCAAATTTGGTACTACGTGACGCCAATGGAATACGAAGGTATGTGACTGATGCAAACATGATAATCATGAGATGTGTGTCATGTGATAACATCACTAGATGCCACAGTCAAGGCGCCAATGCATTCCGACGTGGCACACTGAGCGTGCTCGCCGGTGTTCCTTTCGTCACGTCGCGCCGGCTTTGCCATGCTGCAGGTGTCGGTCCTGCCATATACGCGCAGGCGCGCGCCGCGCTGCGTTGCTTTGATGCATGAGCGTTTCAGAGCGTCCGGCATCCCTCCGTCACGAAACGAGAAAGGCGAAGTATTGTCTTGGTAACGCATCGGTGCGCAATTCAGCATGTAGCGTTTCACGCCGGTTGCCGTTGTGAAATGAGTGCTCAAGTTTTGTTAACGTAGCGTCACTGTGCCCAGTGTGCGCACGCATCAACGCTGCATTGAAGTATATTGGGTCCTTCATGATGCGCTCGCGCTTATTTTGCTAGCTTCACATATACCAAATTTTGTGTTACGTGACGTCAACGGTGGACAAAATATATGACTGGGGCAAACATGATAATCCGGACGCACGTGTCATGTAGGAACATGACAACATACCACGCTCATAGCATGCTCGCGGCCGTTTTACTAGCTCCACATATACTAAATTTGGTATCACGTGACGTGAAGGTAAACGACTCATCTAAACATGATAATCAGGACACGGAAGTCCGGGAGCCATGCACAGCATCATTTATCTCCACCTCGTAACGTTGTGCTGATTTTAAAGGGATATTTCAACATTTTTTATTCGTGCTTCGCATATCATCGAATCCCACTCTATGTGGAATCCGCCAATTTTTTTTTTCAAAAGTTGTTAGCGACATCCTTCGCTCGTGTCGACTCGTCACAACCTCCCCACGGCATAACACCGACAATCTTACCGAGCGCGTCAATTGAACTTTGACAACAATGTTCTTTATGTACGTTCTCAAAGAACACCTTTATTGTGATATTACTTTGCCTTTTGGGACGTTTGCATACAATTCGCGACGCCAAGACACCGCTGGATTTTCTCCCTTTTAATAATTATTTGGCCGTCATCTATTATCACCCTTCGAGGCTCTTCTTCCATGAATTACGCAAACGATTATAGAATACGCTCGGGATGCCACTTCTCAAGCTCAAGTCGTCCAAAAAATTGCACGGGAGCGTCTATATGGCTGGCAACTGCCTCAAAAGGCCCGTTACAATAGCCATCACAGAAGTGTTGTTTCTCCGCCATCTTGGCTGCAGGTGCCTCTAACTCTCCTAGTATATTCTGTAAATATTTGTTAAATTCACACTCTCACCTCCGAAACAATATATTCTCAAAAGCGTCTGTATACCAGCGTTTCTATACAAACCCTGGTACGCAAAATATATCTCTTCAAACAGTTTGTTCTTGCCAATGGGAACATAAATAACTATTTCACTAATTTCCATTCTACATTTTGAAAGTTCCTGCTCCTTCTAGGCACCTAATTGAAATTACATTTAGTAGCTGATTATTATTTTTTCCTCACGATTACAGCATCCTTGTGAAGTTTATGCCAAGAATGATGTCATGTCTACGGCTTTTTGCCACGGACGTCATTTACATATACATTTTCTTTAGTGCAACAGTGCTCTATGGTGTGCGGTGTGTGTGTGTCTGTGTGTTTGTATGTGTGGGTTGGTGCGTGCGTATGCGGACGCTCTCTTTATTATGCTTACACGACACCCTTGGACAATAGGCTCAAAATAACGGCGACGGTCTATTGTGGAAGTTTTTATAACGTAATCCGGGTACTTTTGTTACATTGCATGTCACAAAGTCCTTTTTTCAAACCCGAGAATTAAATTCGTCTCACGCGCAGAACCGCTTCGTGCTGGGTGAGGCCGAAGGCTTCATCTCGATCCTCGGCTTCGAGCACCTGGACAACAAAGACTTTCGCGAGGTGGCAGTGCTGGATCCTCCAAACACGCTGGCCGCTATTGCCTTCAGCTCAGGCACTGGCGGACAAGTCAAGGGCGTCGAGATCACCCACTATTCCTTCGTCGCTAACATGGTGCAAAACAAGTAGGCTGCGCTATTTGTTTGCAATCTCATACTTAAACTGAAGGATAAATCGCAGTTGCCAGCTTGACAGGCATAAGTGGTTTCATGTTCGCTAGCCGGCACTCCATTATGGGTACCACGCGGCGGTTTTAATAGAACGCACACAGCAAATAGGCAGTAAAACACATGCCTTTGCCACTGTTACGATTTTACTTTCTTACTGCTAGCTCTGTTAATGCTGTCGAAGTGCCACCTAACCACAGTGCTTTCAGATCAAAACTGAGATTAAAGTATGCTCTTCAAAATTGCCATGCGCATGAACATGGTACCAAAAAAAGGGATATTTGTGCCCTCACTTTTTAATCAATATTGACTTGTGAATGAACTTATTATTGAAGTATTATTTACTCATTGCTCCATTAGTTATCACTTCATTACTTAACTATTGTTATGGCTGTATACTGCATAGCCAAACTGAAATATTTATTATACTGCTAAAGTAAATGTCCAACCACAGCAGGGTGAAACAAGAAGCCGCACAGTGAAGTGCGGAAACATTGTGAGTGCTACTGTTATTTCTCCGTTCACACTATTTATTTTATTTCTTGGTACTACAACCCCTTCAGGAGTTTTAGCTGAGTGGGATACAACGTAGGAATGAAAATACATTATGATATAGGTACAAGAATATTGCAATAATTTGAATAATACTTTTAGTAATATAAAAGACAAAATACGCACATTTACTAAAGAGAACAAATCCATGTTCAATGACCAAGCAAACCTTTACCATAAGTGCAAATGAAACGAAGCAACAGGCAATGGAGGTGCAAATAGACAGTAACTATGAATAATGACTGATCGTGTTTCAGCCATCAAGAAACAGTGAAAACGTTGAGAAAGAAGTTGCTAGAAAAGTTTTCCTGCTAAAGTCACTCCAATCTGTTGCTATACTCGGAAGGAAGCAATAGTTGAAGCAGTCGTTATAAGAAAGGGAAGCACTGATAGTTAGTTCGGCTTTTGGCGCGTTGAAGAACCGGAGGACAACGAAATAAGTTCACTAGTGTTGACGTTATTGTGTTTCTCCTTTAACTGATCAACAAATTTTAAACCTGATGAGGAGTTTCTTTCATCGGATGGCGGTAGGTTATCTAAAGTTTGCAGGTAACGTATTGAACTTCGTCGGGAATCATTGTAGATGAACTGTTTGGCTGATTCTCGTACGCTTTCTAGCTTCAGGATATTACCTTTTGTGTAGGCGTTCTATATAGCAGCAGCATATAGTCTAAGACTAGAAGGACAATAGAATGGTATGCTAATTTTCTTGCAGCAGGCGTAACCAAAAGTAATGTTGTCCCTAAAAAGAATTATTTTTATAAGCATCAGCTGTAACATAACGAATTTGTTTGTTCCACCTTGAATGATTTTATATTCGTAGCACAAAGTATTTGTATTCGGATACCATCAAAAAACTCACACTGTTGAAAGCATATGTAAAAAATGGCAGATCCCACGTACATTGGGAATCAATGATATGCGAAGCACGAATGAGAAAGATTGATATGTCACTTTAAAGTCAGCACAACGTTACGAGGTGGAGGTAAACAATGCCGTATACATGACTTCCATGTCATGATTATCATGTTTGGGTGTGTTGTTTACCTTCGTCATCCATTCCCGTCACGTTATACCAAATTTAGTATATGTGAACCTAGCGAAACGGCCGCAAGCACGCTATGAGCGTGGTATCTTGTCATGTCCTTACATGACACACGTTTTAGTATTATCGTGTTTGCACCAGTCTTTTGCTTTCGTCATTCATTGATGTCATGTAACACAAAAATTGATAAATCTGGAGCTAGAAAAATGACTTCGAGCACATCATGAAGCGCCCAATATACTCCAATGTAGCGTTGACGCACGCTGGGCACAGCGACGCTACTTAAGCAAAATGCGAGCACTCTATAGTCGCATGCCAGACGGCACGGCGTGGGCGTGGCCCGACGGCAACCGGCGCCAGATGCGACATGTTGCATTTCGCACCAATGCGTTACCCAGACAGCACTGCGTCTCCCTCTTTTTGTGATGGAGAGACGCCATACGCGCCTAAACACGCATGTGTCAAAGCAACGAAGCGAAGCGCACCTGCGAGTGTATGGCAGTACCGGCGCCTAGGGTGGCAACGCCGGCGTGACGCGAAAAATGAACGCCGGCGAGCACGCTCACCTCGTCCTGTCGGAATGTATTGGCGCCTTGACTGTGGTATGTAGTCATGTTCTCACATGACACGCATCTCATGATTATCATGTTTGCACCATTCACATGCCTTCGTCATTCATTGACGTTACGTAATACCAAATTTGGCGTATGTGAAGCTAGTGCAATGGCCGCGAGCGCATCATGTTGTCCTTAACATCATCATGCTGTAAGCTTATCGAACACATGATAGCTCATAAATTAAATGAATTCTTAGAAGAACGTTCAGTTTTAACAAATCATCAACATGGGTTTCAAAAAGTATTTTCTACTACAACACAATTGGTTACTATCTTTCATGCCTTTGCAGCTTTCTTGATTGGCCAAATTGATGTAATATTCTTAGACTACAGTAAAGCATTCGACACAGTTCCACACGATAAACTAATTATAAAGCTTCGGTTAGTCGGCATACCAGAATTATTTATCTCCGGGATCTCAACTTATCTACTCAATCGCAACCAATATGTTTAGGTAGGAGAAAAAAAATTGCCCGCAGCTTCCCTCGGGGGAACACTGAGGAAGATGCGGAGCATATAATTGGTTAACGGGGTGTTAAAACCAAAGACGATCACACACCTTGCAGGTGTGGCCGAAGCTTCGGTCGAGGAAGTCGCGCTTGAAGCGAGCGTTGGGCGTGGCATACTGCTTGGCGCGCCACGCTGCTACCTCGGCGCGCTTGCGCTCGCGGGCAGCATCGGGATCGGCCTCTCGTCGCCGACGCTTGCTCTCGGCTTACCGTTTTCGAAAGTCCGGGTCCTCTTGTCGACGCTTACGTTTCAAAGCGGCCGAATCCGGTGCTACTGCTCGACGCTGACGTCTCTCAGCGGCTTCACGTTCTCTAAGTTGAGAATCTTCCGCTCGACGCCGACGTTTACGTTCGGCGTCGCGAGCTCTTCTCCGCGCTGCCTTGTCTTCGGACGACGACTTGGTTGCGGTTCCGCCAACACTTTGGCCGGCGCTGGTCGAAGGGACGTCGATCATTGCGACCTCGGACGTCGACGCGCCGTACAAACCAACCGACGAGCGGCAACTGAGCGAGCGAGCACCGACCTTGAGTATATATACAGCGCGACGGCGCATGCACTGTCAGCTGTCGAATGTTCGAGAAGGGGGAGAAGCGCAACGGCACATGCGCGCGCGTCAGCTGCCGATGTTCTCGAAGCGCGACGGCGCATGCGCGCGCGTCAGCTGCCGATGTTCTCGAAGCGTGACGGCGCATGCGCGCTACATTATACAGCTAGCGAATGTTCGTGAAGAGGAGAAGCGCACGCGGTGTGTAGAGGAGGAAGGGTGCACAGATGGTGGAGGAGTGAAGCGCGCGCGGTGTGTAGAGGAGGAAGGGATGCACAGATGGTGGAAGAAGGAGGAGGAAGCTTGCGGACGGCGCCGCACTACAAGCCTCGAGTATTAGATGCTCCGCATCTAAAACAATCGGGCTGCCTTCCGGTGACTTCTGGCGTTCCGCTGGGGAACGTACTAGGCCCCCTTCTGTTTCTGGTCTACATTAATGACATTGGCAATATAATTAGCACCCCGGTACAAATTCATCTATTTGCTGACGATTGTGTTTTGTTTAGAGATGTAACCTGCATTAGTGACCAATATGACCCTAATGCTAACTTAGGCAATGTATCAAAAATGGTGTGAACAATGGGGAATGCTTCTTAATGCAAACCAATGTGTGTATCTCCCCATAACGCGCAAAAAACTCCCATTAGACTACACATATAATTTAACTGAAGCAACTTTACTTGATGTAGCCTTTTATAAATACTAAGGCTTAACGTTAACAAGTACCTTATCCTGGCATTTGCACATAAATAACATCTGCTCGGCCGCTTTCCGTAAATTATGCCTTATCCGCCACAAGCTCAAGACTGCTCCGCCTAGTGTTAAATTCCTCTCCTACTTTTCCTTAATTAGGCCTAAACTTGAGTACGCCTCCATAGTTTGGTATCCCCACACAAAAATTAACGTTCAAAACCTAGAAATATTTCAAAGAAAAGCAGTACAATTCATATATAGTAAATTTATGTCAACCGGCTCCCCCACTGCATTACTAACGGCAAATGGTATAGAACTATTACAAATTCGAAGAAAAAAAAAGTCGGCTACAGTTTCTTTCAGACATAGTAAACCACAGGCTACCCTTAGACACCGCAGCATACGTATCCCCCTTGTTAAGCAGACCTACTCGACACCGCTATCCTCATTCCCTAACGCCAATCTTCGCAAGGACAGATACTTTTTGGTACTCCTTCTTCCCACAAACAATACATGATTGGAATAAACTAATCAAAGCATTTCCTCAACGCCCTTGACCATTTGTGTAAATACTCTGCTTCCATGACTTCCTTGAATTGTATTACCACATTGTTGTTCAATTGTTACTTTTATTAAGTCATATGGAATAAACTAATCAAAGCATTTCCTCAACGCCCTTGACCATTTGTGTAAATACTCTGCTTCCATGACTTCCTTGAATTGTATTACCACATTGTTGTTCAATTGTTACTTTTATTAAGTCATAACCCCTCTGTGTTATATGCAAAGAAATTGTGTAAAAAACGCTTTGCAACCTTGTTTAATTCTGTTATTTATTGTGTTTCATGTATGCTCACCCTGCTTAGACTTCTTGTCCGCAGTATTCTATAAATAAATAAATACAATGAGTGTGGCATGTAGTCATGTTGTTACGTGATACGCATGTCGTGATTATCTTGTTTGCACCAGTATCATACCTTCGTCATTCATTCATGTCC